TCCTCTTATCTCTTTCCCAGCCCCTGGCAACCAATGATCTGATTTCTGTCCCTGAAGTTGTGCTTTTCCAGAATGTCATATAAATGTAATCTTACAGTATGGTGTAGCCTTTTATGTCTGGCTTATTTTACTTGGAATAATCTATGCTATTGCATGTATTAATCATTCCTTTTTATTGCTGAGTAGTATTCCATTGTATAGATATATGGAAGTTTGTTTATCCACTAAGCAGTTGATAAATATTTATATCCAGTTTTGGTGATCATGAATAATACTGCTATAAACATTCACAGACAGGACGTATGTTTTAATTTTCTTGGGTAAATATTTACCCAAGAAAATTAAACCTAGGACTGAGTCATATGGTAAGTGTATATTTAACTATAAAATTTACAAAAAAACAGCTGAAGTGAGTCTACCATTTTGCATTCCCACCAGCAATGTGTGAGAGTTTTTCAGTTATGATGTGTCTTTGCCAATCCTTGGTATTGTTAGCACTGTTTTGATTTTAATTTTAGCCAATCTTATAGGTATATCATCCTAGGGCGGTTTCAGTTTCTCTGATGGCTAATGAATTGAGTTTCTCTCACGTGCTTATTAGTTAACCATACCTTTGGTGAAATGCCCATTTTTTAAATTGGGTTGCTTGTTTCCTTATTGAGTTATAGGACATTCTGGATATAAATCCTTCATCAGATACATATTCTCCAAGTCTGTGGCTTATGTTTTCATTCTCTGAAGTGTCTTTTGAGCAGAAGTTTCTAGTTTTGATAAAGCACATTTTATCATTTTTTAAAAAAATTTATTTTTATTTTAGAGAGAGAGCAAGAGCGTAGGGGAAAGGGGCCGGGGGAGAGGGAGAGAGAGTCTCAAGCAGACTCCATGCTGAGTGCAGAGCCTGAAGCAGGGGCTCAATCTCACGACCCTGAGATCATGACCTGAGTCAGAACCAGGAGTCGGATGCTTAATGGGCTGTGCCACCCAGGCGCCCCTATCATTTTTTTTTCTTTTATGCTACTTTTTGTGTCACTAAAAATCTCTGTGTTCCAGGATTTTCATAGATTTTCTCCTTTGTTCTGTAAGTTTTATAGCTTCAGGATTTACATTTAGACCTGTGATCCATTTTGCATTAATTTTTGTATGTGATGTGAAGTATTGGCTGAGCTTCATGTTTTTGCATAGGTATGGATGTCAAGTTAATTGTTCTAGTCCCATTTCTTTTATTCTCTTTCTCCATTAAATTATCTTCTCAACTTTATTGAAACCAATTGGCCATATATGTGTCAGTCTATTTCTGGATTCTGTTTTGTTCCATTGATCTGTTTGTCTACCCTTTGACTAATATTGCAGTGTGTTATTTTAGAGTTGATTGTGTTATCTGTTAAGAAAGCTGTTGGCATCAGGGAACAGAAAACCCTGCTAATAGTGGGTTTATTTTCTGTTACAACACGAAGTATAGCGGTAAGTAGTTGTTGGTTTGTTTAAGCTATTCATCAATACCAGGAGTCAATAAACTACAGTCTGCTGGCCTAATCTGGCCTGCCAACTATTTTGTAAATCACCTGTGGAGGTTCTTCAAAATGCCTATGCCCAGGCTCTACCTCTGAGACTGATTTACTTGTTAGGTTGGGACATGAGGGGACAGAGGGAGGAGCACATATTTGAATTTTAACATGCTTCCTGGTAATATTTGCTATTATGCTGTGTAGTCATGGCTAAGAACACTTCCCCCTAAATACTTCAACATGCATTTCATTAAATAGAGTTTCATTTTATTTACAGCTATTTTTTTAGGTACGCACAATGATATATGCACATTTTAGGCAAACATTCTCCAAGTTTTGACAAATGTGCACAATTGTTTAATGGAGACTCTGATCAAAATGACATTACTATTATCCCAAAATGTCTCATGCTCCTTCTCAATCTGCCCTCTTACCCAACTGCAGAGACAGCTACTACTATGATTTTTTCTACCATGGATTAGTTTTGCCTGTTCTAGAACTTCATAGAGTTGGAACCATATGGTGCATGCTGCATTACGCAAGGCTTCTCTCACGCAGGATGTTTTAGAGATTCACCCATGGTGTTGCTTGTGTCACGAATTTGTTCCTTTTTGTTGTTGAGCAACACTCCATTTGTTAAATGTACCACAGTCCGTGTATCCATTCCCCAAGATCAATACCTGGAATAAAGCTGCCATGAACATTAAAAAAAAAAGAAACCCATTAACCTGAAGTTAGTTCTTAGAGCATGGTCCCCAGACTAGCAGTATCACCATCTCCTGGAAACTTTTTAAGAATGCAGATTATCAGGTCCACCCAGACTTACTGAACTGGAATTCAGTTGGGGCCCATCAGTTTGCGTCTTAAAAGTTCTCCAGGTGATTCTGATGCATGCCAAAGTTTGAGAACCCTGAAAGGCATTGCTGAATGTTTCCTAGATAAGCCTAGGGAAAACTGTCTTTAAAAAGAGAACAACAGATGAGCGCCTGGGTGGCTCAGTTGGTTAAACGTCTACCATTGGCTCGGGCCATGATCCCAGGGTCCTGGGATCGAGTCCCACATCAGGCTCCGTATTCAGTGGGGAGTCTGCTTCTCCCTCTCCATTTACCCCCTGCTCATGATCTCTCTCTCACTCACTCTCTCTCTCTCAAATAAATAAATAAGATCTTTAAAAAACAAACAGGGTGCCTGACTAGCTAAGTCAATCAAGCATACAGTTCTTGATATCAGGGTCGTGAGTTCGAGCCCCATGTTGGGCACAGAGATTACTTAATAAAAGAAATATTTTTAAATAAAACAAAAACAACGAAAAAAACTTAACTGGTTTAAGTATGTATATTATAATGTCACAGACAATAATTTTGAAATTAGATTGAAGGTTCACAAATAATCTAACATAATTGTTGAGTACTGTATTGACCCTAATCATCCAAAGCATATGTTGCATTGCTGTCTTTAAACAGCTTTTAAAAATCAGCATATTTGTGTGTATACATTTCTTTTTCCTAGTCTTTAAGGAAGAGTTGAGGAAATAGAAGGCAGCTCTGATGTTTATAGACTTTATAAACGAAAGAAGAATGCAAGATAAGGGCGCCTGGGTGGCTCAGTTGGTTAAGTGACTGCCTTCGGCTCAGGTCATGATCCTGGAGTCCCGGGATCGAGTCCTGCATCGGGCTCCCTGCTCGGCAGGGAGTCTGCTTCTCCCTCTGACCCTCCTCCCTCTCATGCTCTCTGTCTCTCATTCTCTCTGTCTCAAATAAATAAATAAAATCTTTAAAAAAAAAAAAAGAATGCAAGATAAACATGTATAAACACAAAATACAAGCATATAAACATGTTTTCTTTCAGGCTTAGGTGTATTTTTATTGATGAATATATGAAAATGTAGGCAGCCTACCCAACAGAAAACTTGAGCTTAATTACCCTATAAACCAAAGAACAAAACAGTACTTTGTAACATGTAAAATATATTGTCTTCTCTTTGATTTAGTTTGCTCTTTTGGTGATAGTCTCCCCAGTTATAATTACTAATTACACAAACGTGGAGTCTAATATTTTTTTTCCATTTGTGTTCAGGAAGCTGTAACTATCCTACTTACGTTCTTTTTCCCCTTGGAAAACAGTTTAGGTTCAATTAGACTATCTTTTGTTTACTGCAGGTGATGGAGTAATTGCTCTCAAGTTCTGAAAGAATGAAGGGTAATTAGAACTAAGCTGTGGTTTGTTTTTTAGATGGCTTAAAAAACTTCTGAAAGTAGAACTTCTGAAAGAAGAAATTTTCATTCATGGATGTGTAGGATCAGGCGTAACAAACAATTAAAATTACTTGACCCACTTGTAGTTCCATTAGCAGTAACTGTAAACATAAAATGAAGTTCAGAGAAATAGACATTGTCACTGAAGCCACAAGGCTGAACACCTGTGTGGCCCTTATTTCCAAGGCAAGAGTAGCTGACATGTTAGATTTCGTTGAGAAAATGTCAGCAAAAAAAGACTTGAGACTGTTTCTCAATTATAATTTACAGCCAAAGGAACTTGAAGCTTATAAAGTTATAAAAAAATGTTTGAACTGAGTTCTTTGGTAGTCCAGAGGTATGTCTGTTATTATTGGAATTTTGCTTCTAACTTCTATGTTTTTTTGACCAGAAAGACCTCATTCTCTTTAACAATCTCCTAGCCCCACCTGTTTTAACTTTTTGTCAGGTTTTAGTCTTCAGAAAGCCTCCTAAATCAGCCCCCTTTCTTGATCATGACTTTTTCTAAATTGTTTTGTTAAATTTTTTTTAGTGTTTCTTGAATAAGCATTTAGTGACAATACTGGGTTTTGTCACTTGTGGTTTTCCTTAGCATTGGTCAGTCTTCACTTGATTTTGCACTTGTTTACTTCCTTATTGAGCAACTAATAATAAACCATCATGACTCTAGAAAAACACTTGACATTACTGAAATGGAATGCTTCTCCTCAGGCCATTTTATACATACCAGCCTTATTCAGGTGCCTCAGAACTTTAAGAAACTGTTCATAGCAGAGGAGTCTCCCTTAGAATTACAAGAGACTGACTTATAGTAGGAGTGGTAAAATACATGTGAAAATTTATTACCTAATCAGTCTGTTTCCCTGTTTCTTAAAGATTAGAGAAGCCCCTAAAGATACTCCTCTTAACATATTATTTCTCACCAGACAAGTAAGATTACAGATATTTTAATTGTTAGTTGAGGCCACTGTAGAAAAGTTTCAGGAACACTGTTGCATATATTTTGGGGCAATAGTCTCAAATTCACTATACACTTTTTCCATGAAAAACTAAGAATTAAGAGAGCAGCTGCAGCTCTTATTTATTGCAGATCCTGATTTATTCTGTTTTTAAAAAACATTCAGAAGATATCTTTGTATCAAAAGAAATGTTGACGATTTTCTCTAGAATACGGACCCATTTGAATTAGTACTGGCCTTTCTTTCTCACTTTGCTGATTGCATGTATTTGTGACCCTTAGATTATAGGGAATGGAAGTGAGCAGCAGCTGCAAAAAGAGCTAGCAGATGTGCTGATGGATCCTCCAATGGACGACCAGCCAGGGGACAAGGAACCTGTGGAAAGGTCACAACTGGATGGTGAAGGAGATGGACCTCTTTCTGACCAACTCTCAGCTTCGTCCACCATTAACCCTGTGCCGTTAGTAGGGCTCAAAAAACCAGAGATGAGCTTGCCAGTGAAACCTGGACAAGGAGGTTAGGACTGCTGCATTGCTTGCTTAACTGCAGGTTATTGTTTTTAATATGTGAGTGCCTACCCTGTACTAGGTTTGATTCAGAGCAAGCAAAAACCATTATCTGTGTTTTCTAGAATGTTCAGATTCTAGATTGAGGAGGATGTGAGGAGGGTAGGTATATGTACCATTCTCATTTCCCTTTAAATGTATGTCATTGATATCAAAGAAAGAGATAACAGCAGTTAAATGACATTGAGGAAGTCTTATTTCAGAATGTTTCAAGATTTTCCAAGAAAGAAGGAATTTGAGTACAGTGTTGGAGATGTGGAGGAATAATGCTAGGGGAAGAGATATTTGCTGCAGGCCTGTATAGATAGCTCTTTGGGAGTAGTTGCCAGGTTTTTTAAAAGTGAGTCGAAAGGCACCACAGAAGAGGAGGAATAGGGGAATTATAAAGGCTCGTTGGGAAAAGTAGAGTGTTAAAACCATGCAGCTTTATTGGGAAAGGGAAACCAGGGGTATTGGGAGAACGTTAAGTGGCTAAGATGATGAGTGAGAGAAATAAAGCAATACAGATCAGGAAGAAGACAGAGATAGGATTTTTCACAGTGGCAAAATACTAAATATATTTTTGACCTAAATGTAAATTATAAAGTCAAAACAAATTAGAAGAGGCAAAAATGTAAATCAGATCTAACCTCAGATCACATTTTAGATTTGGGATTGACAGTAAAGCAATCCCTAAAAATTTTGGTGTTAGTGACAGAGTTTTAATGTGAAATTTCTGGCTTTAATGGGCAGTTCTTCTGGGGCAATGACATATTATCTCATTAGTTCTTAATTGTAGACCTAAGTGTAACTTTTAGGTTTTTACTTGGTATTCATGTCAACAAAATACTAAAATGAAAGTAACCCTCCATTACCATTTCTTTCAGATTCTGAAGGGTCAAGTCCTTTCACACCAGCTGCTGATGAGGACAGTGTAGTTTTTAGCAAACTAACTTATTTAGGCTGTGCCTCAGTAAATGCTCCCAGGAGTGAAGTGGAAGCCTTAAGGATGATGTCCATCTTAAGAAGCCAGTGTCAGATTTCACTAGATGTAACCCTGTCAGTGCCGAATGTATCTGAAGGAACTGTGAGGTAAGACCAGTTTCTTGAAATGTTCAGATCAGATTTCTGACCTATAGATTTAGAAAGAAGCGGTAGTGAACAAAATACATAATTATTTCATTCATGTAATGTTTAATTCACCTGGCACTTATGTCTTCAAGGATTGTGACCCATATGAAAATTAGTCACTCATTTGAACAGTTTTTTATATTCTTCCCCACCCTGGTTGTGTGTGGTACATTAAAATTTAAATGTTTTGGAGATAACATATTGAAAATATTTTGACCTGAAAGTATGCCTGACAATTTATATTTTCCCTGTTCCACCAGTACAGATGCTAGCTTGACACAGTAGTTCAATATGAAGTTTCATATTGAATCTAACAGAACATATTAGAATCAATAATAATAATATTGACATATCAGAATCAGCATTTTTTAAAAGATTTATTTATTTTAGAGAGAGCATGCACACACGAGTGGGGGGAGGGGCAGAGGAAGAGGGGGAGAGAATCCTCAAGTAGACTCCCCACTGAGCATGGAGCCTGATGCAGGGCTTGATCCCAGGACTCTTGAGATCATGACCTGAGCCAAAATCAAGAGTCGGACGCTTAATAGACTGAGCAACCCAGGTGCCCCTATTAATGTGAAACTTCTCATAAAATTTATTTAGTGCTCATTTCTATGTCCTTCTTAGTAGTTATTGCCCAACTGAAGTTATACTTTGTTCTGATACATTTTAATTCTGTAGACATACAAAAACCAGTTTCTCTTGCCCATATTTCCAGAGTTTTCATCAAAGTGCCTTTGAATGTGAATTAGGTCCCCTTCCTGTGTATTTCCATTATGCACAGGGACCCCTGGGCTTTCCTCATTAATGGCCCTGCCCATTTAGTGTTGAAATTGCAGTTTCTTTTCATTACTTTCATATTTGTGTCTTCAGTGTCCAGAATATAACCTGAAATATTGTAGGTATCATGTAAGTATTTGTTGAACCAATACATTTTTGAATGAATGACACACCTTTGATTTTCAGTGAATGGCATCATTTGATTTTAGTGATTATCTTTTTTTAGGTGTTAACATTTTGTACACTCTTATTTGCCATGAATCAGAAGAATATGTTTCACTCTGAGAAAGCACATCAGTTTTTTATTTTCTTAAATAATAAAGCATTAGGTCATTTTTTAGGAGGTAATGAGAAACACAGCTTTAGTGATCATTTTGGTAGTCTAATTTACCCATTGATCTAGTCTTTATTTAGGTACAGACTATATAGGAAACCTGTGTACTTATTCTTTGTCTTTCTGCTTGCCTCCTTAAAACATAAGATTATGTAGGTTTTCGTACCATGGAATTATGTAATTAATAACTTCAGGAATCCACATATGACTTTTTTTAAGAAGATTTTATTTATTTATTTGACAGAGACACAGTGAGAGAGGGAACACAAGCAGGGGGAGTGGGAGAGGGAGAAGCAGGCCTCTTGCTGAGCAGGGAGCCTGATGCGGGGCTCGATCCCAGGACCCTGAGATCATGACCTGAGCCAAAGGTAGACGCTTAACGACTGAGCCACCCAGGCGCCTCCACATATGACTTATTTATTAAGATTGGGACGCCTGGGTGGCTCAGTCATTAAGCGTCTGCCTTCGGCTCAGGTCATGTTCCCAGTGTCCTGGGATCAAGCCCCGCATCAGGCTCCCAGCTCGGCAGGAAGCCTGCTTCTCCCTCTCCCACTCCCCCTGCTTGTGTTCCCACTCTTGCTCTCTCTGTCAAATAAATTAAAAAAAACAAAAACAAAAAAACTTAAGATTAATATGATTAGCACACCAAAAGTGGTTTATATGATCTTGCTAGAAAGATGAGTCTCGAATCATAATATGGATATAGTGAAAATAGTCCATAATCTCTCTAAGCTCTTCGTAACTTTTTTCCCTGAACAGACTCTTAGATCCTCAGACAAACACTGAAATAGCAAACTACCCTATCTACAAAATCCTGTTTTGTGTCAGAGGGCATGACGGAACTCCCGAGAGTGACTGTTTTGCTTTCACTGAAAGTCATTACAATGCAGAGCTCTTCAGAATACACGTCTTCCGGTGCGAAATACAAGAAGCTGTAAGTCCTCACCAGAAAAAGTGTCTGTAAATGAAACTTCACCTGTACCCTCACTGTGTTGAAGTTAATTGTAGTATTTATTATGGTCACTTAATAAGCCAAATGAAATTCTTTGCTGTTTTATTCATTCCAGCCTGATGGGCTGAAATATAAAGAAACTAGAAGTTTGGGTAACCAGAACCTTGTTGCTAAGAGTGTCAGAGACTAAGACTGCTTCTTGATATAGGCATCTTGGTTTCAGGAGTGACACATTTCCAAACTGTTCTTTTAAAGCTAATCCTGTAGGATTTTTTTTTTTTAATTTATAATAAATATATTCAGATTGTTCCTAACAATTTTGGAAATTATTTTTCAGTCGGATTTCTTGTGTTTATAACCATTTCTTTTTTAAAACCCCTTCTCTGGCCATTTTTAGTGTTGCTTGCTTTCTAGGCCTAACAAATTATTTACCAAAAGAAATCAATGGGGGAAGATGAATTATCCCCCACCCCCAACACACACACAAAATAGGTAACCTTCAGCCTTAATAAAGGTATTTTATTTTTTCTGGTAACAGCCCGTTTTCTAACTTGTCTGTTGTAGGTAAGCCGGATACTTTACAGTTTTGCCACTGCCTTCCGCCGTTCCGCCAAGCAGACCCCACTTTCAGCAACTGCTGCACCCCAAACTCCTGACAGTGACATCTTTACCTTCTCTGTGTCTTTAGAAATAAAAGAAGATGATGGTAAAGGTTACTTTAGGTAGGGTATTTTATTCTGTTTTTTTTTTTTTTTTTCAACTTTGTATTAACATGCTGTATCTGTGGTTCAAGGGAAACTCTGGGTCACATTATATAACTTTCATGTATAAAATGATTGCTTTTATAGGTAGAGTTTTTTTATATTATAAATGATAAAGAAAAGGAAATAGGCAAATTTGCAGAGGAAAGATTTTTTTTATTTAATTTTTTTAAAATTTTAATTTCAGTATAATTAACATGCAGTGTTATATTAGTTTCAGGTACATAATACAGAGATTTAAAAACTATATACTACTCAGCACTCATCACAATAAGTGGTTTCTTAATCCCCATCACCAATTTACCCATCCCACTGACCTCCCTCCCTCTGGTAACCATCAGTTTGTTCTGTATAGTTAAGAGTCTGATTTTTGGGTTGTCTCTTTTTTCCTTTGTTCCTTTTGTTTCTTAAATTCCATGTGTAAGTGAAATCATATGGTATTTGTCTTTCTGTAATTATGGAAGCAGCCCAAGTGTCCATCAATAGATGAATGGATAAAGAAGATGTGATATATACAATGGAATATTACTCAGCCATAAAAAAGAATGAAATTGGGCGCCTGGGTGGCTCAGTTGGTTGAGCGACTGCCTTTGGCTTGGGTCGTGATCCCGGAGTCCCGGGATCGAGTCCCACATCGGGCTCCCTGCTCGGCGGGGAGTCTGCTTCTCCCTCTAACCCTACCCTTGCGTTCTCTCTCTCACTCTCTCTCTCTCTCTCTCAAATAAAAAAAAAAAAAAAAAGAATGAAATCTTGTCATTTGCAATAGCATGGATGAGGTTATAATGCTAAGTGAAATAAGTCAGTCAGAAAAAAGCTGATTTCTTTCTTTTCATTTTTTTATATTTTTTTTATGGCTAAGTAATATTCCATGGTATGCATTGCATTTGTGTGTATACACACACACCCCACATCTTCTTTATCCATTCATCTACTGATGGGCACTTGGGCTGCTTTCCTGATTGGGCTATTTAAATAATGCTGCAGTAGACATAGGGGTGCATGTATCTTTTGGAATTAATGTTTTCATATTCTTTGGGTAAATACCCAGTAGGGAAATTACTTGATCATAAGGTAGTTCTATTTTCCACAGTGGCTGCACCAGTTTGCATTACCCCCAGTAGTGCACCAGGGTTCCTTTTTCTCCACATCCTCACCAACACTTGTTATTTCTTGTCTTTTTTGATACTAGCCATTCTGACAGGTGTGAGGTGGTATCTTATTGTGGTTTTGATTTGCATTTCCCCAATGATGAGTAATGTTGAGCATCTATCTTTTCATGTGTCTGTTGGCCATCTGTATGTCATCTTTGAAGAAATGTCTTTTCATGTTTTCTGTCCTTTTTTAAATTGGATTATTTGTTTTTTGGGTGTTGAGTTGTGTAAGTTTTTTTTTTTTTTTTTAAGATTTTATTTAATTTGTCAGAGAGCGAGCACACAAGCAGGAGCAGCAGCAGGCAGAGGGAGAAGCAGGCCCCCCCACCGAGGAGGGAGCCCGATGCGGGACTCAATCCCAGGACCCTGGGATCATGACCTGAGCCAAAGGCAGACGCTTAACGACTGAGCCACCCAGGCATCCTGTATAATTTCTTTATATACTTTGGATACAAACCCTTTATTGGATATATCATTTGCAGATATCTTCTCCAGTTCAGAAGGTTGGCTTTTAGTTTTGTTGATTGTTTCCTTTACTGTGCAGAAGCTTTTTATTTTGATGTAGTCACAATAGTTTATTTTTGCTTTTGTTTCCCTTGCCTTAGGGGACATATCTAGAAAAATATTGCTATGACCAGTGTCAGAGAAGTTACTACCTGTGCTCTCTTCTAGGATTTTTACGGTTTCAGGTCTCACATTTAGGTCTTTAATCTATTTTGAGTTTATTTTTGTGTATGGTTTAAGAAGGTGGTCCAGTTTCATTGTTTTGAATGTTGCTGTCCAGTTTTCCCAACACCATTTGTTGAAGAGATGGTCTTTTTCCCATTGTATATTCATTACTCCTTGTCCAAGGTTAATTGACATATAATTATGGGTTTATTTCTGGGCTCTCTATTCTTTTCCATTGATCTATGTGCCTGTTTTTGTGCCAGTACCATACTGTTTTGCTTACAGCAGCTTTGTCATACATTTTGAAATCCATGATTTTGATACCTTCACTTTTGTTCTCCTTTTTTGAGATTGCTTTGGCTAATTTAGAGTTTTTTGTGATGCCGTACAAATTTTAGGATTATTTGTTGTAGTTCTGTGAAAAATGCTGTTGGTATTTTGATAGAGATTGCATTAAATCTGTAGATTGCTTTGGGTAATATGGACATGTTCTCTCAATCCATGAGCATGGAATATCTTTGTTTATTTGTGTTATCTTCAGAGCATAGGTCTTTCACTGCTTTGGTATTTTACTGTTCCTGGTGCAGTTGTAAATGGCGCTGTTTTCTTAATTTCTCTCTTCAAGAGGCAAGATTTGAAGAATTTTAAAGCTATTAAATTCTTTCGTGTGGGGAAATATGTCACGTTACTTTGTTCTTCTAGACTCAAAGTAACTGGCCGACTGCTGATATGAAATATGACAGAAGCTAAGCCCGCTGGATTTGTAGCTGGTTAATTTGTTTTAATAATCTAAAGATCTTAAGGCTGTTGACATCAGGTTTTCCATTATAGTTTATCTGAACACATTGGGGATGAGGAGAAATGAGGTCTGTGTCTGAAGTCTTAACCTTGCATATAGGGTCAGAAATAACTGGTTTGGGCTTTTAAGTAAAATGGTACTTCTTTTGAGTAGTGGAAAGAACCCTAGAATAGAAATAAAGACTTAGATTTAGTTAATTATTGCTGCTATTAACACTGTGAACTTTTCCAAGTTTCTTTATATTTCCTGGCAGTAGTTCCCTTACTTAGAAAATAAGCTGGCTAAACTCTTAAAGTGTTTCTAACGTTAAAATACTACGGTCACAAGATGATTGGTTTTTTTGTTTTGTTTTTAACCCATATCACACATTAGGTGCTTCTTGGATCATAATTGACAGTTGCATATTCAAAGTTTCCTTCATGATTACCTCATAAAATGGGTAAAATAAAATAGCATTAAAATATGGGTGATTTCTACTATTTTCCTTTCATATTAGCAGAATGATGACTGGTTTATTTATTTGAACAACTGAGAACTCTTGGTCTCCCTGCAAAAACTTTTGGAATTCTCATGCCATCTGGTGGCCGATTTCATGTACAATGCAGCTTCAGCTTTGATTTGTGCACTGAAGTATTAGACACTATGTCTGTGCCCTCTCATCAGCTGTATTTCTGTTCTCACAGCAACTGTTGGGATGTGCTGGTTCCCACAGTATGTATGCCTGCCCCAGGAAGTGGAAATTATAATCTGTAAAGTTTGTAAGAATTTTTTTCCTTTTTAAGGAGCAAAAGTTTCTTTAAACTGCATTTTTCCCCTTTAGTAAACAAATTTATGTAGATCCCGTTTATAAATTTCAATTACAAATAGGAACGATGTCTAAGATCTCTCAGAAGCACTAGAACTAGTTCTCTTGCTTCTGAACTCAGGCATGTTCAAGGTAGAATGATCGTAATCACAAACATCCCTGTTCTGTTCACCTTCATACCAAGGAAATGCTATACAGAAAATCCCTAGATGGTCATTTTGCTTTTCACATTTGTCAGGGCTTTGTTCTTTTTTTGTTACATGGTTTTATTGAATTTGTAGTTTATAGTAGAAAATAGTGTTTTGTGCCCTTTTTATAGTGATGAACTTACTGAAAAGTAAGCCTCTCTTTATCAAATTTGAACTGGCCAAATGCAGTTGTTTTTTTCCAGTGATTCTGTAATATGTCCAGGAATTTATTTTGCAGAAACATCATCGAGGTACTTAAAGAATTATCAAGATGGATGTTCCCCTTTAATACTGTTTATAATAACAAAATTAAAAAGTGGAAATTAAATGTTCACCAGAATAATTAAAATATGCATTTCACAATATATACAAATGTCAAAGCATTGTTATTCACCTCAAATTAATATAATGTTGTATGTTTGTTGTATTTCATTAAGAACATGATACAGTGATGTACCATATGATTTAGCACCTATCCAAAAAATACAGGTATATGTAAGTAACCATAGCACAAGATAGATTGTGGTTTTACTCTAACGTAAATACAAAGTGTTGTGACAAGAATTAATGCTCTTCTTTTCATCCTTGAAAAAGTATAATTCTTACATTATTAATGTTAGAAACCTACTTTCAATTTAGCCCTTAGGAAGGTGGAGCATTTTCATTTATACCATTCAAAGCACTTTTTTGTCTTATTTATTCTACCATATAACTCTATTAGGTATGCTGGGTATTTGATACTTGTTTTATAGGTAAAGAAGCCCAGGGATGTTAAGCCTGGATCTCAGTATTGTAATTTATATAGTAGGAAGTCAATGGAAAATTATTGGGGTGGATCTATTCAATGATACGATGACAAGACTAGAAATATAATCTAAACTCCCTGACAGCAGTGAAGTGAACTTCACTGCTTACAGTCTCCACTCTACTTCCTGTTAATGTGGCTTTTCCTTGTACTTCAGCATTAGGACACCAGAGAGAACTGTATATCTGTTGTTGTTTTAAATACTGCTAAGAGATGGGATTATATTTATTTCTGTGTCAGCATCCGCGGAACATAAAGACTAGTGTATCTGTTACCAGTTGAAAATTGAGACCTGTCTATATCCTTATAGGTGAAAATTCTGTCAGTTATAAATATTTAAGTTTGGTTTGCAGAAGTTTTCTTTGCGAATGTTTGTCATTTCCAGACTCCTTTGCTAAGATTCTTTGGTTTTCTTTTCTTTTCTCTCTCTCTTTTTTTTTTAAGATTTTATTTTAAAGTAATCTCTGTACCCAACATGGGGCTCGAACTTACAACCCTGAGATCAAGAGTCACATGCTCCACTAACTGAGCCAGCCAGGCACCCTGACTCTTTGATTTTCTTATCTTAGTTTCATAGAGTGTTTTTGAATTGGTTACTCTATAAGTACAGATGGTCTTCAAACTAATTTTATTTTTTTAAAAAAACAAAAAACAGAAAACTAATTTAATTTTTCAGAGCCACTTTTTAGTTTGAGTAGGTACCTAGAACTCTCATGTAGTCTTTTATAGTATCTTTTAATGGTTTTGCTACCATTATTTTAAAGTTGTACAGTATGAAGACATAATTTGTATTTGCTGCATGTTGGCTGATTGCCATTGGCAGATGTTTGCTTTTGAGAACAAAGGAGCCAGAGAAAGTGGTGTGTGGGAGAGTAGGGGATTATTTTGGTAAACTCTAATTTTAAGAATATTTTCAACTTTTTTCTTAAGGTGATGTTTAAGTATATCATTAGTATTATTTTTATAGTTATTGCACATGTGAATAAGAAGGTTATCACTGCTTAAGGGAAGCATTAAGCAACAGCTTACTGTTGGCCTTATTTTCCTTATCTCTATTATTTTTTGAAGGTACCTTTTTTGGAATTCAAAGGATGTATGATTAAGTATTTTTTCTTTATTACATATTTAAACAAATAAGGCAATAAATATTTGTAAAAAAAAAAGTGACTAAATTGAAAGGAAAGAAAACTAATGTTTTTTTGAGTGCTTATGTGCTAGATGCCATGCTAAGTGCTTTACAGATATCTAACTTAATTTCACAACAACAGAAAATTAAATTATATCACATTTTAGGGAGCATATGAGTTTTTTCTAGCTCTTATAAATTGTTTAGTGGATTACATACAGTAGTGATAATATTTTCACATCAAGAGGTAGATGATGATTTTTAAATTTCTGTGATGACTTGAAAACCAGGCATACAAAAGAACCCTAGATTCAAGAGAGGTTGTTTCTAGTATATGTCACAAGAAAATACTTTGCAAAATTAATGAAACATGTTGTTCTACAGTGCAGTTCCTAAAGAGAAGGACAGACAGTGCTTTAAACTTCGCCAAGGAACTGATAAGAAGATTGTCATCTATGTGCAACAAACAACTAATAAAGAACTGGCCATTGAAAGGTAAACATTTTTAGTAAATTCAGCTTAAATATAAATTCTCATTTTTATCAATCCAGTGGAGTAACCATATACTATATTCAAAAATATATTTGCAAAAATTTTGTCCTCTGGGGAATTCTTTTGGTTATTGAAGTGAATACTTAGTTCACTTTGAATTAGCTCCCATAAATCATCAGCTAATATGCTGCCTTCAACTATGTGATAATAAAAGACAAGAGAATTTGTTTCTGTAAGTAAAAGAAGTAAGGTTGTTTGAGCAATGCTAATTTATTGATAATTTTAATGTGTCCTTTATCCATCAGTAAGAATTTTAAATGACCTAGTTTACACGTCTTTTTTCTGTTATCTTTCTTCCAAATTTATGCCTGTTCTTTCTTTGCAGGTGTTTTGGTCTTCTCCTTAGCCCAGGAAAAGATGTACGAAATAGTGACATGCACTTGTTAGATTTGGTAAGGATTGCTTTTCTTTTTAAGGTTATACACTATTTCCTTGATAAAGGTTTCACTTTATCTCACTTGAATCTGATGGTAAAGCACTTTTGTGAAGGTGTTCTTGTGAGCTATAATAGCAATAAACAAAGATAAAGAATTTCCTTATTTCTGACTTGATATTTACTAGTCTGACCCTAAACCTATTTAGTCTCAGCCTCGGTTTCTTCACTGTATAATGGTGAATAATCCTTGTTTATAATTTAAGGTTGAAGTTGGAATCAAAGAGAGAGTTTGTGAGGGAAGTGTTTACAAACTATCATGAGTTTTTTAAAAGTAGGTGGTATTAGTATTGTTGCTATTATGTGAAAATCTTTATTTTCAAAACTAAAATTTATGTGATAATTATGCACTTGACAGAAGAATTCAGCATAGATTCAGGTGGTAAATTTCTCTAAATTTGTAGAATTTGATATGATTTGTAAGCATTTACTTTATAATTTTCCAGGAGCAATTGCATAAATAATTGGCACATCTTTAATTTTAATACTTGCAGTCGTCTCATTCACATATATTTCTACTTTTTAAAAAATATCTGACCCTCTTTCATATTTTTACATTTTCGTGACTCCTGTTTTTTAAAGGCAGCAAAATGGGAGCTAGCTGTTGTTCCTTTATTTTGGCATTAATGTTTGTTTTTACTATTTTCTTTAGGAATCTATGGGCAAAAGTTCGGATGGAAAGTCCTATGTTATCACTGGGAGCTGGAATCCAAAATCTCTACCTTTTCAAGTTGTAAATGAAGAAACTCCTAAAGGTGATGCAGATTATTGATACAATGAACAGAAATTTTGGTCCCAAAAAGATACCCAGGCCTTAGGACCACTTATTTGACAAATATCAGTGTTTTTTAATTCTGGTGAAACCAAAGGATTTGTGTAGGTCTTTGAGTTTATTATTAAATTTGACCTTGTATTAACAAAGTATCATTTTTCCCCACTTATTTTTCCCTCCTCAATTTTTCACTTCCCTGCTTCCTTTTCTATTCATGTACTTATTTATATACAGAATTCTAAATTTTATTTTTAACATATGCACATATGGATATAGAGGGGAAAGTAAAAATTGACCATAGTCCTCAGGGCCCCACCCCAAGAGGACCATTGTGACCAGTTTCATATGTAGCTTTTCAGATATTTTGTGCAGAAACCACCTTTTTCAAGTTTTTTCCTACTCTTCCTGAATGCCATTTAGTGGCTGTATAATATTCTATCCTGAAAATGTAACATTATTTGCTTAACTAGTGCCTCCTGTTGAGCATTTATTTTTTTTTCCCCTTCATTTTTTCTTTTTACTCATAGCACTATAGATAAATGGATAAGTTAGCCAAGATTTTAAAAGTTGAGAATTCCCAGTGTTGGTGAGAGTGGCATGAAGAGGCCATATGCCACTTTTGCAGATCAGTCTGACAGAACATTTCATAAACTTTTATGTAATGCTGTCACTAATTCCAAGGAGTCTACCCAAGCAAAGAATTCTCAATACAGAAAAAGTTTTCAAAACAGCAATTTATCTGATTATTTTAGATTTTGATTTAATTAATGGATCACCTTAAGCTATCTTGAAAGTTTTTGAGAAAAGTAATTACTTTTACATTAATTGTATGAGCAAAGATACTTCCATTTTTTTATTTGCTTCTCCCCCCCCTCTCTCTCTAGATAAAGTGCTGTTTATGACCACAGCTGTTGATTTGGTAATAACAGAAGTACAGGAGCCTGTTCGATTTCTCATAGAGACAAAAGTCCGTGTTTGCTCACCTAATGAAAGATTATTCTGGCCCTTCAGCAAACGTAGTACTACTGAAAATTTCTTTTTGAAACTAAAACAGGTACTACACTTTTCTATAAATATGGGAGGGTGGTATAGATAAGAAAGGAGAAACTATTTTTGAGGCTGATTTATCATCAAGCTATCACTTATATCTTTAAACAGTCATGTGTATTTTAAACATATTAAGAGGAAAAATTGTCTTCCATTTTTCCCCACGTATTTATCATTTTTCTTGCTCTTCATTTCTTCCTCAAGAACCAGGTTCCTGTCTGATCTTACTTGCCTTCAATCTGAAGAACTTATTTTAACATTTCTTTTAGTGTCGATCTACTGAAGTCATTAACTCTTAGACTTCTTTATCTGAAAATGTTTTTATTTCACCCTCATTACACTGGGATATTTTCACTGGCTGTAAGATTCTGGGTTGACATTTTTTTTCTTCTGGCACTTTAGAGATGTCCTCTCACAGTCGCCTGGCTCTCATTGTTTCCCATGTGAAGTCAGCATGCATTTATTGATATTGTTTCTCTGTATGGAATGAGTCATTGTTTCCTGGCTGCTTTTAAAATTATTTTTTATCTTTGGTTTTCAGACATTTAAATATGATGGGCCTTAGGCATGGTATTCTTTGTCTTCCTTGTGATTTGCTGAGCCTCTTAAATTTTTTTTTATTTATTTGACACAGAGAGAGAGGGAGGGAGGGGGCATACAGGCAGGAGAAGCCGGAGAGGGAGAAGCAGGCTCCCCCCTGAGCAGGGAGCCTGATGCGGGGCTGGATCCCAGGAGCCTGAGCTGAAGGCAGATGCTTAACCTACTGAGCCACCCAGGTGCCCCTGAGCTTCTTGAATTTTTAAATTTTGTTTAAATATTTGTTTTGTTTTGTTTTGACCAATTTTGAGGAAAATCTGCTTTGTTATTCCTTTCAACCTTTTTTCCTGCCCCATCTCTCTTTTCTCTCATAGGATTCCAGTTACATATATTTTAGTCCTTTTGATATTATCCCGCAGATCTCTAAGGCTCTGTTTTTAATTAAATAATTTTTTTTCTGTTTTTTTCTTCAGGTGGGATATCATTTTAACTCTCTTTTGACATGTCTTAAAGCTGGCTTGCCCCTTTCTTTTATCATCCCCAATTTTCTGTTAAGTCCATTCAATGAATTTTTTTTTTAATTTCAGATCTTGTACTTTTTATTTCTAGAATGCCCATTTGGTTCTTTTTTTTATAGTTTCTATTTTCTTATGAGATTTCCTCTTTGTTTTTTCAAGAAGATTTTCTCTTACATCCTTGAGCATAATTATAATATTGCTACTTTAAAAATCCTTAACTGCTAATTCTAATGTCTGGTGAGTCACATTGTCCTCTTTCTTTGTCTAGCAATTTTGGATTATATGTTAGACATTTTTAATAATAGATTATTATAGTCTATTATGTTATGGTCTCTTCTGAGTATCAGTTTAAAAAAAAAAATCTGTCAGTTAATTTGGTCAAATTCCATACTCTATTTTACTTGTGGTGGGCAATAGATGAAATTTGTTTCCTTTTAGCTTTTCTTGGCCTCAGATGCCCACTACTTTTCCTTTCTTTTGCTTTCCTTTGTATCAAAACTTCTTGAAAAAAAAATCAAGTCCATAGTGACCTAAATTGCTAAATCTAGTGGTCAGTCTGAGTCTTCATAGTCCTTGGCCTTTGAGCAGTATATAATACGGATGATCACTCCCCCCTTCCTTACCCTCTTTCACTTAGCCTTCAGGACATCTCAAATTTACCTCACCCCCCCACCAATCCCTAGAATGCTCTCCTTACCTGTCTTTACTGTCTCAGTTCATGGACATCTTCTCTTAATTGTTGCTGAGGCCAAGAATTTTACTTTCATTTTTCACATCCTATATCCAGTCAGTCAGGAAATTCTATTTACTTTCAAAATCTATTTAGACTCTGGCTGCTGCTTAGCACTTAGATTACACTAACCTCATCTGAATTGTCACCTTTACCTGAGCTACTGTAGTAGCCTCTTCACATCTCCCTGTTTCTTTTTTTGCCCCCCCCTTCATATATTCTCAACACAGCAGCCTAAGATCAAATCAGATCACTTTTCTGCTCATAACTCTTTAAACCTATTCTGTGTAAAAGCCAGAGTCCTTTTCGGTGGCTTCTAAGACCCTATGTGATCTACTGCCTGTTATACCATCAACTAATTTCTCTCTTACCGCTCTTCTTCCTTGCTTCTTCTGCTCTAGCCATGTTCTCGGGGCCTTCGCTATTAACTGTTTCTTCTGCCTTAATGCTCTTCCCATTTCCCACTTGCTATTATTCATCTCTTTCAGGTCCTCATCTTCTTCAAATCTGTGCTCAGATTGACATCTTAATAATGCCTGACTGCCACATGTAACACTGCAGTTTGTCTGCTCTTAACTTTCAGGATATCACATAATATACTTAATTTTATTTTGCTTATTATCTATTTTCTCTGTTAGAAACCTCTACTAAGGCAGTAGAGGTTCCTGATCTGCCTTGTTCACTGATTTATCCCAAGCATCTAAAACATAGTAGTTCTCTATAAATAGTTGTTGAATTGATTTTATTGACATGTAACTTCAGTCTTGAGTTTTACAAAATTACAGTGTTGCTTGTGGATTTACTTGAGTATACTTTCTGATAGCAATAAATATTTTAGTTCCAGTGTATCCAAGTTAGCTCTTTTGGTTATAGTTAGAAAAAGGTGGCAAACAGAACAGGAATAGAGATTTCTCTTCAGTGTTGTCTTAGGAGACAGAAAGTAAACCTGGGCCCTAGCACTGTTCTCCCAGCTCTTCACTGTGGCAGCAGAAAAGGATTAGCATAGGCTTATCAACTAGAAGTTGGCTTTGGAATCAGAGTATATGGATATTACCACTGACTAGCAAGTACCTTCAACTCTGTGAGCCTGTTTACTCAGCTGTAAAATGGCAGTGATTGAATCTTCCTCATAGTGTTATTTGATATTGAGAAACTATATAACACATTTGGCATATAGTATGTTCTTCATACATTTTACCTGTTATTGAGAGGGACTGTGGAACCTAAGTGGGGCAGAGAAAGAATAAAAAATATTAAGTCATTGAGATGCCTGGGTGGCTCAGTCAGTTGGGCATCCGACTCGATCTCAGCTTGGGTCTTGATCTTAGGGTTGTGAGTTCGGGTCTCCACTCTGGGCGTGGAGCCTACTTAAAAAAAAAATACTAAGTTATGAAATCAAAACAACATTGATTATTATTAGTGGATTAGTCCCAGAAGAAGAACACTTCAGAAAGAAAACCAATTTACAGGTGGTATTTTAAAAATTTAGGGAGTAGGGATGATTCTTAAGTGTCTAGAGTAAGAGATGATAAATAGAAATTAATTCTATAATAATTTTAGAACAAATTTATATGTAAGAAAACATATTCTCTTTAGAGTTCTGTCTCTTTAATCTTAGTGAACATAAATAAGATTCTTCTGATCTTGCTTTCCCTTTAGGTCTTATACAACCTTATATTCAAAGACTGCATGAGTTTACAGGAATATTACTTATGTGGTTTGGTCTAATATAATGTATCTTAAGTAGGCTAATAAATGACTTAGGCAGAGTAAAGTAGCCAGAAACACATATACCTGAGACCTAGCCCAATAGACTACTCTAGAATCTCTGTTAAGGTTACAAGCTAAACATAGGCCAAGTTGTCAATATTTTCTTTGCAAAAAGCAGAAGTTTATATGTGGAAGCTAGGGAGGAGAGCAGGGAATTCCTGAGAATCTTTCATTTTTTTTCCTTATTTGGGTAAGTCTTATTTTGGGGGGGAGGAGTTTTGTGAGGGGTGGGGAATGGGAAAGAAGAGAGAGAGTGTGAAGAATTTGAGCAGCTTGTCGCTGTCTTAGTGCACTTAGAGCACTGTTAATCTCATTTCTTGTAACATAATAAACTAAGTTTATTCCCTCCTTTACATTCATGGCATTAAAAAGTAATAGCTACAGTGGTTGAGAGCCTACTGTGGCCATCACTGTACAAGCTACCTTGACTTTTTCTGTCTTATATAATTTTTATAGTGAACCAATGAGGATAGTATTTTCAGTTTTATAGATCCAGAGATGTACAATCAATTTTATGGAATGTTGTGTGAACAAGATGCATACCTGAGCTTTCTCAGCTTTCTCAGTCAGGATTCTTTCCGTAGAAACATCCTCCCTTTGTCTGTCTTTCTGTAAGAGTATTTTTAGGATTTACTTAAATTAAGGAGAATTTAAAATTTTAACCCTTTTGCAGTTCTCATCAGACTGAAAAGGAAACAGTGGTGCAGACCAAATTTTTAAAATATATAGCATATAGTTTTTGTTGTTGTCAGTATGGGAAAATAATTATAGAAAAATTTTTAATACGTGTTTAAAAATTGATTGTTTCTCCTATCACTAAAATTACCTGATGACTCAGTAACTCCTCTTAAGCATGGAAGCCTTCCCAACTGTGAGTATTATTATATTAAGATGGCATCATATTAGAGAAGAAACTTTTAAAATTAGTGGGGAAAGAGGCACCTGGGTGGCTTAGTCGGTTAAACGTCTGACTCTTGGTCTCAGCTCAGGTCTTGATCTCAGGGTCGTGAGTTTAAGTCCTACACTGGGCGTGGAGCCTACTTAAAAAAAAAAATAATGCAGAAATAATTGTTTTCTTGGATTTAAATATTTAGAATATTGTTTACTAAAAGAGAAAGAAACTGGTCTGAAGACTAGGTTTTCCAACAGTAATGTAAAGTGAATTTAAGACCAGCTAAGCATTCTTAAAACTATAGAATTACAGAATTTTATTGCCAAAGAGATTCTAGGTGTCTTAGAATCTTTTTTGAAATTATTTTATAAATGAAGCTGATGTCCACAAGATGAAGTATGCGGCCAACATCACATAGACAAGTTATTAGTATGACCATATTAGAAACCTGAGCCTCTTATTTCTCTTTGGGGTGTGTGTGTGCGCGTGTGCATGCCTGCATACACAGGCATACGCACACATATGCAGTAAACCACTGAACCTCTCAAGGTGAAAAATAT